TTTTCAAAACATCTGTCTCCTATCTTTATATCATGATTTTTCTCTGCATTTTGGTGATGAGACAGCAACATATACTTAGTTTTCTCAGTGTTTACTTCTACACCAACCTCTTTACTTGCGTCAGTTAAAGTTTGTGTGTTTTTCTTTATGGTATCTACATTACCACCCAGTAGATTCACATCATTGGCATAGGCCAACAGCTGATGTGTCCCATTTAATTTCAGTCCAACCTGGTTTCCCTGGACCTTCCTAATGGTATATTCTAAAGCAAAGTTGAAAAGGAGTGGCGATAAAGCATCTCCTTGTTTTAGACCATTCTGGATAGGAAATTTATCAGACAAATGTGTACCTACACGGACCCTACCATACGTTTCATTTAACCTTTAAACACCAGACTTCTGAAATGGTGGTAAGCTTGAGCTGGCCAGAGTTTATTTAAATACCCATTGCTACTCTGCATTTAAATGTCCATTCCTGTTAAAGTGCTTAAACAATTTTAAGCATTGTGTTTAAAAATGCTGCATCTAACTCAATTTTTATGATAAATGGATGGAATTAACACTGTTTGTATCAGCAAAGAACATAGTGCTGCATATTATAATGGAAGATTTGAAAATTTTTATGCAAAGAGTTATACTTTATTTATTTATTTTTTAAATTTTGATGCGTACTGCAAAAATGGTTTCACAGTTCTTCACAAAGTTGTTCTGCATTATAAATTCATTTCTGTTTGNTTTCTAGGGTCGTGAACAGACAGTTGCATCATGGCTGAGATATAGAGTGTGATCTGTTTTTGTGCGTTCATAGTGAAATCGAATACTGTAATTTCATTTCAGCCTATACATACATAAAGCAGATAACAACAAAAAAGGTATGTACATCGAATTTTACTACATATTTTTAACACATTAATCTGCAGAATCTGCAATAAGATTACAGGCTCGTGGATGATTTTGGGCATAACTCATACGTATATTCTTTTTTGCTGATGTTCACTTAGGTATCATTTTAATTCCTCTATTATGGTTTTACTCAAGTCTGTCTGGTAATTACTACATTTAAAAATAAATTTTTAGGATTGTGCATTCACTTCTACTAGCGGCATGTGGGAATGCTTCCACTAGTGGAGTTTGAATGTTCGACTGGCCAAAACGGGGTACTTTGGCCATGACAACCCTATTCATCACTGGCCTGAACGGGGCACTTAAAGGTTAAATACGTTTTAATCAACCTAACTAGTTTCATGGGTATCCCACTCTATCAGAATATTGTACAATATTTCCCTGCTTTCTTGAAGTCTATGAATAGCTGATGTACTGTCTCATTGTACTCCCATTTTTTCTCCAATATCTGATGAATGCAAAAGATCTGGTTAGTAGTTGATCTGTTATGTCAAAACCCACACTGATGATCCCCAAAAATTTCATCTGTATATGAGCTTAACCTTGAGAGAAGAATATTGGATAAAATTTTGTATGAAGTTGATAGCAGTGATATCCCTCAATAATTACTACAGTCAGTTTTATCACCCTTCTTGTGAACTGGTACAATAATAGACTCCTTCCACTGATCAGGCAATTTTTCCCTATGCCAAATAGAAGTAATTAGATTGTGGAACGTAATATTTTGCCTCCTGCTTGAATAAGTACTGCCAGAATTTGATCACTACCTGGCAATTTATACCGTTTCAATTTTGCAATAGCACTTTCAACTTCAGAAGGGCTAGGATCAGGTACTAATGGCTCAGCTGTATGGATTTCTGCTTGCCTAACATCACTGACCCTATGTACATTAAATAACTGAGAGGAGTAGTTCCTCCACCTATTCAAAATGTTGTGGGAATCTGCAAGCAGATCACCATTCTCATCCTTCACTAAGTTACTGCTAGGCTGGTAACCCCTCTTAAAGTCATTTATTCCTCTATACAGGTCTCTAATATTCTTATTCTTACTGTTCATTGCAAGCTGAACAGTAAGAACAAGAACATTAACCAGCTTCTATATACATACTCTTCTGAAAGCAGTGACAGAACTTGTATTGAATAAACTATGTAAAGCTAGAATGATCAGAAGCATACTCTACATGTCTTTGCCTTCAAGTAATATTTGATTACATTTCCATTCAAAAATATTTGACAAACAAAATATAGTACAACAGTTCATACCATCAAAGGTAAAGGAAGGCCATACGAAGTATGCCTCTGCTTCTGTGATGCTGGATGGGCCTTTATTGGTAATAGAGTATGTATGAACAAGTTGTGGTCCAACTTCTGTCTCAAAGACTGCACTGTCTGCACCATCATACAATGTCATTTTGTAATGAAGTTCTCTTGGCTCAGAAACTCTGAAATATCAAAACAAATCATCCACTGTCATACACATAATATACCCCATATATCAGGATTTTTTTCAACTGCAGTTTACTCTTTTAAAGCCTTAACAACCCATTTTAATGTACTAAATTCTATCTATATTCTTCTCACAGAGAATATTTGCATATTTTATATGGTTCTCACAGTAAACAGTGATTGTGTTCATAGACAGTATTAAATGGCTGATGTTTGTAGCACAGATGAAATACTTTTTCTGTCAGGTACAAATCAAATTTGTATAAATTACTTAGAAGAAATAGAATCGTTAAAAGATTAAATGCCTACAGTTATTATTTACAATTTATGGCATATACCAACGCCATTTTAATAGTCATAAGGCCAAGTCTTGAACATTCACACTCTCCTGCACCACTACGACTACAAACCACAGTTGAGGAATGTCCGAGCATGAAACCTCACCTCTCATGGTCCCCGTGTGTTGGGGCTCCAGACACAGTCAGAAATGTATGGGATTCCTCCGCCATCAACCAACTCAGTGCCACTGTACGATTACTTTCTATCTCTATATTGTCATGTGTATGTGTGATTATAGATGGGGTTTGGATTAGTAATTGGATTTATTGAACACTTATAGATTGTAACCACAAGTAACTATAGAGCTGTCACTAATTCACATGCTCTACAATTCACTGTTGCTGCCCTAATTCTTCTCAGTCTGCTGTATCTTCAACGGTTGTTCCCTGGTAACACCTTCCAATGCCATAGTTTCTTCAGCTTCCATGTTCATATCCTTACTTGTGGGAGACTGTCTCGTGACTAACTAAATACGAGACTTGCCGAGCCATCGTGAGGTGCAAAAGACCTTCAAGGCATTGAAGGCCACGTCATAGCTCAAGCGGTTAGTCGCTGGCTTCCCACCATAGTGGCCCGGGTTCGATCCTGGATTTGGTCAAGTGGGATTTGTGGTGGACAAAGTGGCGCTGGGGCAGGTTTTTTCCAAGTACTTCGGTTTCCCCTGCCTATCTTCATTCCACCAATTGCTCCACAATCCCTCACCTGTCATCTGGGGCTGGTACAATAGGCCAGAAGTGGCCACAGTACAAGGGACTTAATCCCACCCCACTAGCATAATAAAAAAGAACTAGACTTGTCCTGCTTATCACACCTCAACACTGGTCACATGGAAAACACCTCACCCAACAGTTCTTCCACTGTTGCATCATGTGGCTTTTATGAGCATTGCCTATGTTTAATATTAATATGTAGTTCATCATAGAATACTGAGCATGTTGTGGGAACCTCCCACATTCTAACAGACAACAACTCCAACAGTCTAACAGACAACAGGCACCTCCCACAACGTAAGAGAAGGAGGCAATATTTATACATCGCTTGCAGACTGGCTCTCTGAACATCAACACAAGCACTATCCAATCAACGCTCACAATTGCAGCTCCACCACCAATTGGTCCATGCGCCACCCAGTGGTAATGGTATAAAAACGCGGGCCTCCAACTTGCTACCATCAGTCACATCTATCACTTCAGTTGCTGCTACACCGCCAGCAAGAGATCAGCGCACCTGCACCACACCTACTCCACCAGCACACGCACTGTAGGCAGCCAACTCTGCAGACACACACACCGCAGCTCCGCCAGCCAGCCAGGCTTGCTGCTATCTCTTCAGCTCCAATAGCCAAGCTGCAGCAAAGGAAGAACATCGGGCTGCTGCAAGGAAGCACGCCACATTTGCTAGCTTGCTACAAGGAAAACTCAGCTAGACAAACAACCCTTTTAGGGGTCTCCACTCAGCACCATCATCAGTAGACCAGGCTAACCACTACAAGAGGAGCCTCCACCCGTATTCTTCAAGCATGCTCCCCATTCGTCTGTAATACACGTTCTAAGCGCAACAAACATTTGTTGTTGTAGTTTCAAGTGGTTGTCTCAGTGAATATCAACATCCCACAATGTATTCCTAATCACAAAATTCCCACACCCTTGCTCTTACCAACAGTGAGATAAGCCTTAAATATCTCTCTGCAATGGGAAAGTGCCTGCTGTACAATAAAATCTTATTACTGCAAACCTAAACATTCCTGAAAATACAGGGAATATTTTTGCTGTGTAGACTGGGTCGACAGCTCTGTGTTCATGGTGACCAGCGAGCTGCTTGCTGCGAGGAGCATGTGAATCATTTTTAGTTATGAGTTATAAGCATTCAATAACTCCTATTACCAATCCAAACACCATGTCTAGTCACTAGCACATGATAGCACATTACACTCCTGATTAGTGAGTTTCTGAAGAGTTTCTGTTTAGTGACTGATGCTTAATGATACAGAGTGTGCATGTGGCAATGTACTCACCTCCAACTAGTTTCAAGGTTAAGAATATATCATTACATCCAGTCCCCCATACACCTTTATGGCAGTGCTTAATTAGTTAAGCACAGGGACTTTACCTTTACCTTACTCCATAAGTACACACAAATCAAAGGATTAAATTTACAGAAGCAAAAGTACTTGCATATGTAAAATAATGTAATCAATATTTGATCTTACCCACGTAATTCCAATTCTGCATCGACCCAGATTGGCACAGTGAGCTTGAAAGTATTATCATTGGTGGTAAATTCCTGTTCAGGATTGGTGCTGTTCACATTCATCTTGAATTCATAACGAGGTTTCATTACTTCTGTGAGAGATGGCTTCAACAGCACCTTAAAGTGCACAAGTCGATTCTGGGGTAGGGGATTACCAAGGTCACACCGAAGTGTGTTGTTGTTGGTCCGTGAGGGTGCTGAACACTGAACAAGGAACTCACGTTCAGCATTGTCCATACGTTCAATGTTGATGTAATTGATACCCACAGGTACGCCCATTGTAAAAGTTGTCTCAAATGAATCTTCACCTCTATTCTCCACAATAACATCCAATTCTAGACGGTGTCCAGAGCCAAGCAGATATCTATTGACGCTCCTGGAAAATATTTTAAGTTCATATATCATTGTATACATAAAAGATATGAGAAACCCCCATTTATGATGCATTAGAAATGAAAAATTGCAAAAAAAATTAAACTGTTAGCTTCATCATATCTGTCTGTCCATCCAGCTGTCCACATGTAACAACCTGAGAACTGCAGAAATGATTTTCTTGAAATAGAGCCCTTTACTAAAATCTGCTGCCACATTCAAATTTTTATTAAAACTGGACAACAATAACAGACACTATATATGAAGACCTGTAAGCATTCCAACACACACATTGAATGTAACTCAATAATATTTATTGCAACAAAAAGTCTTTCAAACAGTATAGGGAATATTAAAACACATACTTTTTTTTTATGTGCTTCTCAAAATCAGACAACAATGACAGACATTTTACGTAGGTAAGTCAATAAGTAAGTTACAAATGGATTTTAAACTTAAACAAATAAGAGTACTAATTTGAAAAATGCTTTTATTTCTCAACATAATCTCCCTGTACATTGAGGCACTTGTCCCATCGTTTCACAAGCGCCTGAAAACCAGCAGCATAAATTTTTTGGGGCTGCCGTCGGAACCAGGCAGTGACCGGGATCAGGAAAGGCATAGTGCTCACTGTATTCCAGCCTTAAGGGCAAACCGTAAATGCCGACTCCTACTGTAACATCCTCAGGAAACTTCGTAAGGCCATTCAACAGAAGTGACCAGGACTCCTCATGACTCATGCTCTTGCATGACAATGCATGTCCCCATACTACCAATAAGACAAATCAGACGCTGCAAAATTTCAAGTGGGAAGTTCTTGAGCATTCTCCATATAGCCCCAACCTTGCTCCAAGCGACTTCCATTTGTTTGGCCCTCTTAAACATCATCTTTTGGCTGAACATTTTCCTGACGATGAAGCTGTAGAAAAGGAAGTCAACGCCTGGTTCCGACAGCAGCCCAAAGAATTTTATGCTGCTGGTTTTCAGGGGCTTGTGAAATGATGAGACAAGTGCCTCAATGTACAGGGAGATTGTGTTGAGAAATAAAAGCATTTTTCAAATCAGTAGTCTCATTTGTTTACATTTGTAACTTACTTATTTACTTACCCTTGTATAAAGACCAAAAATCGTTCCTGCATACATCTTGAGCATACCTCACTAAATAATTACTGAAGCTAAAGCTTTATAAGCTGGTCACAGTATCCAAGCGGTCTAAGGCATGTACTGTCTTTGCTCATAGGATCATGGGTTCGAATCCCACTCTGGGCATGGATGTTTAGTTTGTGTGTGTGCGTTTTTCTGTGTTTGTGTACAGGTAGAGGCCTTGCAACAAGGTGATCACCCACCCAAGGAGTCCTACCGAATGTGTAAGCTCTAGAAAAACCGAAGTGAACAGAGAAGTTCATGGAGGTAGGCCTAGGCCCACTGGGGCTGTAGTGCCAAGGGGGAAAGAAAAAAGCTTTATAAAGAAAGTGTTACAGAGAATACTAAAATATATATCTTATGCCCATAAGATCTAAAATTTTGTGACGATTGTACATTAGTGCAAATATTATATTTTTGCAAGTTATCCATCATTCTGTCTTTATCTAAAAACCATCCTATTTATTTTACAAAATACGTTTCAGAGACGGAATCTAATCTCTGAAATGTTGTGTTTTGAAAAATAAACAGGATGGTTTTTACATAAAAATGCTCAGCACACTTTTCAGTCTTATGGTTTGTATACTAATTAAATAAAAGTGCCTTTTTAACACAGAATCAATAAATTATTACATAGTACATACAGGAATGTGCAAATATTCAATTTCATACAATGAAAATCTGACATCTTTATTCCTTTATTTGCACAAAGTTTGTAAAGTGAATTCATAATAATGAGGTTACAAACTCTCAAAGCATTTACCAAGATTGTAACTGAATTAAGAACTGAAGGTGTATACTAAAAAGTGTGAAACTTATGTAACTTCGGCACACAAATGTGTAATAAGGCCTTGACATACATGATGATTTAATCAAAGTTATCAAACTTCCAAAACACAAATCTCTTTACAAAAAAAATCTATAACATTAATTTCAAATTTCTTTCTCTGTGTTACGTGTTCAATGAACTACAAAGAATAAATAATCTATGTCCCTATGTTTACTGATGATCAGCTCTGTGAATAACTGATTTGAACTAAATGGGCAGTTATACTGAAAATGCTCTAAATTCACATTCATGAGGTTCTTTGATTGATTCTCAGCCAGGACACTGATATCCTGACTGAGGATATTAGTGGTTTTTCTTGGTCCCTTCAGGCAAATACTGTGACAATACCTTGATTGGGCCATGAAGTTTTCTTCCAAAGCTGGTGCAATTTATCATTCAGTGCTATAAAATCTAGATCCCGACAGTGTCATAAAATACACCCCCCCCCAATAAAAAACAATTTATGTCTGCAACAAACAATCATCAAGCTTATGAGGCATCCAGAATTAGAGAGAATCCATTTGAAAACTGTATGCTTGAATCATTATATGAAACAGATGATTTCAGAAACATTGCATAGGAGCATCAAGCTGTGCACTAAACTGTCTAGATGTTAAAACTCAGTTTTTGACACAATGCAGCTTATAATCAAACAGGTTATATGTTTTTGTCTTTTATTTTAATTCAACTACAAATTTTGGCCTGATTGGCCATCCTCAGCTTGATGGTACATTCATTTTCACTTAGTTTCAATTTTAACCATTGGCCAATGTGTACATTAAATTAAAAATGGGTTGTTACATAGTTTTTTGAGAAGTCTTTTGAAGATAAAAGAGCTAGATGTAGATGATTTCAGGTCTTCACAGTGGCACAATGCTATGTGGATTCTGTTTGTGGGATCCACATCATTTCAAATTTACACCTACATAAATATGAATCCAAATTAGGTGTTAACATGGCTGACTCACGGTGTGACTGATAGCTTGAGGTCAGGTATGCAGTTGTTGTCTGGTCCACAGTTTTTCTGGATGCTGATGGAGTCACGACGGACAAAATCTTTGCTCTGATCCAAAACTGGGATGAGTGAACGAGTAACTCGACGTCTGCTTGATAAAGTACTACCACTGCCTGTACGCAAACTGTAACGCATCTCTGCTTCCAGGGGTGTGAGCTTGTCCCTTATACCATTCTATAAATAAAATTTACTTTAAAAACTATTTTAATTATACTCTTACTGCAAAAAAGTTCATCTGAAGCTTCTGAAGATATGAAAGTTACACCCTCTGTTGAAGTGTTCATAGTATTTACGTCAGGCATTTCTTCTCAAAAAACATATCACTTACAAGATTAAAAGTTCTCAGTTAGTGGAAAATTGTTGTAGAAATACTGAATTTGTGCAAGACTACATGATTCAGTACCTCCTTCTTATTGAATAACCCCCCTGATTTCTTCATACATAAAACACTTTGATTTTCTCTTTGTTTGCAAGGTTACAATTGGCAGTCAGTGAAGTGATAACATTACTTCTGAATGTTTCTAATGTTACTAATTACATGGAATAGGGTCATTCTTTAGAAGCTAACAGTGACACGGGTATTCAAGAAATTTTCTGCATTTTATGCAGCCAGGAAGTTCATTAACACATTCACAAAAGATTTCTGTTCATCCCTAACCTGATAAACATATCCCATACCCTCTCACTCTCTTTCCTTCAGATAGATTTTAATAATACCCTGTTGTCTATGACTTTATCCTCCAAATTATCTGTCCCTTTCAGGTTCTGAGACAAAAATTTCATACACATTTCCCATCTCTCTCTCATGTTATGACACATGCCCCACCCTTATTATCCTACTTGATCAATGTTGTCTTTAATTTCTTTAATTTCCTGGATATTATTTAAAATCCACTTTCCTGATTTTAAAACATGACATTTCAGAAATAGTGCCTCTTTCCAAAGCATTATTAACATTATCATCATCATCTCTTGTCACAGGTTTATTTCCTGGTATTCCTTTTCTTGAACCAGTGATGCACCTCACCACTCAGGCTTCAAGCTTCGCACTGTAGCACTTTCCGTAGTATATGTGATGTTCCCAGGATAGCTGTTTTTTGCAGTGAATCTATGGAGTGCTTACCAGGAATTAGTTCCAAATATTTTCTCAACCCTCTCGTGACTGTACCCGTGGCCCCAATAATTACTGGTATCACAAAACATTTCATTTTCCACATTCGCTGAATTTCGATGCTTAAATTTTTATGTTTTAATATCTACTCTGCTTCTTTTTGTACTACATTCCTATCCGATGGTAGTACATTATCATTATTATTATTATTATTATTATTATTATTATTATTATTATTATTGTTATTANGAAGTTCTTATCTTTCGGCCATTTCATGAGTAAGTAATGTTCTCTCATTTCATACTGAGGTACTAATTCAGTGTTTACAGTTAAATGATATCTACAGTGCCTGTCACTTCCAACCCTCTTAAATGGCAAACCAATAAAAAATCATGTGTTTGGTTTTCTGCTGCACCTCTACATACTATTTTCATCAACTGGTAAGTTTCAGTTGCCATTTTTATACTCTTCTTACAACATTTATGAACACATTTTGTTTTATACTGGCTGACATCATTAAACTGTCACACAACAAGAACACTCTGACTTTAAATGCTGGCCGTGAACAACTGATGCAATGGAATGAGCTGAAACACATCTGGACATGCAGTAATGTATGAGGTTTGAGGTTCTCATGAGGCGATGAAGATTAATGTGTTTTGGGATGTGGCACCATCCAATATGGTGTTTGCCTACTGATGGTTTGGAGGGATGTACATCTTCCACCTTCGGTGTAGTGAGAAAGCTGATCACAGAAAAAATTGGCATGGCTATGAATAAAAGATTGCTGGGATAGGACCTCTGAGCAAAGCATACAATTTGTTTGCACAGGACTCCTGTCTTGGCCATCCAGATGGATATGTCCACACCACTTGTTTTAAGGGATGGCCAAGTTGAGCCCTGAGTGAACAAACTGACTGGTTTGCTCAGGGCTCTTATCTTGGCCAACCCTCTAGGTATGTTCATACCACTTGTTTTAAGGAATGGCTGGGATATGAACCCTGAGTGAAAAAACTGATTGGGTATTCTGGTCATCCCTGTACCTATATCCATATTACTTTCTTCAAGGTTGGTCTACTCTTCTACCTGAAAATGGAGGGAGCACTCATCCAGACCACTGGTAAATATACGAGTATAGTGTTACGTTCTACACATCCCAAAATGCAGTAAAGTTAATACAGAAACATGTGAGAATATATTCACCACAGCTGTGTTCCTGTTCATTGCCTTTTATTAGAGATATGAAATCAGAAGTATTTAAATACTTTGAAAGCCCATAATGCTTCTTTCTGGCCAGAAGTGATTCTAATACTTGTTCCTTCTCTGTATGGAAAATAAAAGTAGAACAGTGGTTGGCTCAAAAGCCATTTGAATAAAAACACAGCTGAGTATAATATTTTTTGTCTTTAAATAGATTTTTTATAAAAATGAATAGATATTCTCTTCTGAAAATATCCAAACAGCTAGCTCAGTATCTATTGATCAGATTATGGTCAAATTATCTTGAAAGACAGAGAGAGAAAGTACCATATTTACTTCCTACAAACATTACACACCTTAATGTAGACAGGAAAACTCTTACAAAAGAGTGAATCCTTATCAAGTCGCAATGTGTAGTTCATTATATTGCGGCCTGTCTCTGACAGGAGGAACATGCGTGGACTCTTCAGCTTCTTGGCATCCAGCACAAACTGTACATCAAAGTCTTGTGGACAAAAATAAAAAATTACATTATATGTTTAAAGTTTTCAAGTAACTCCAGACTGCATGTAGTACTTCACTACTGTTACAAAAAATAATGTATTTAACAAGAATTTCTGGTAAGAACTAATTGCCTACTCTCCTTTCATTACATACTGAGTATCTGATACAAGGCAAACTGCATAGAAGACACTGTGTCCAACAGTTCTTCTGTTGTTGCATGTGTATTCAGTTCCACAGAAAACCATTTACCAAACCATTGCCAAGCAATGTTAGTAAGAAACACACAGACAGCAAGGTGATCTCATAAGACTCTTTATTTTTTAAAATAAGGAAAGTAGGCTGAAAAAAATACCACTTAAATAGTAACCTTATTTAAACACACTTTTGATCTTCTATAGTGCAGACACTAGTATACTGCTGACATCTAAGCAAAGAACTGCACAACATATACAATGACCAAGGCAGCAGAACATTTATGTCTAGAAAGAGGAGTGAACGTTATTATGATGTGACAGCATTAAAATAAATATAAATGTCAAATAAATGGTTGCAAGCAGAACATACAAAACCTGCATAATATAAAAAACATAACTTTAGAGTAAATATACAGTGGTAAAATAGTAAATCTTGTGAGGTTTGAGATTCTCATGGTGGTGAAAATGAAGATTACACTCTGGGAGGCTACATTCTCCTCCACGTTAAGTGGGTCCCTTGTCACCATGGCATGGCACGTCCTCAGTTTGTGGATGCAAGAGACTGCCTCCAGATATGGAGGGCAGCTGCGAATATATAGAATAAGTAGTTGTGGGCAGCTGACAAAGGGTGGTCCTCCAGCTTGGGAGTTTGGTGTTGGGTTAACAATTCCTCACCATAAAAAAAAGGTTTGATATGAAAATTCTAAAGAAGCCTAGGACCTGGACAGATTCTGCAGACAAACGACCTAAGCAAAAGAAAATGGACATGAGATTTGGCACTTGGACTGTTCAAAGTGTGTATAGGGCAGGTTCACTTAGGACAGTTGTGGAAGAAATATCAAAATATAAATTAGATTTTGTGGGAGTACATGAGGTCGGATGGGATGGAGGTGGCACCGAACCAACAGGCGAATACACATTTTTCTATGGAAAGGGGAATGAGAATCATGAATTAGGTACAGGTTTTCTTTTCATACATAAGATAGTCGTATCAGCAGATAAGAGGGTAGAGTTTGTTAGTAATAGGATGTCATACATAATACTAAGAAGTGGAGTAGACAGATTTATTGAAACATACAAGTGTATATACCAGTTAAGATATCCTAAGTGACACCACAATACAGGGTCCTTGATGACAGTTACTCATCTGTTCAAGAAGTTTACTACCGCCAACAGGGGGAACCCAAAAGCATAGTTGGTAGAGGCACTATACTACAAGCCAGATGGTTGCAGGTTCAATTGCCAATGAGGCCATTTGATTTTTCAATATACCTAATTCTTCCAGCTGCACTATGGCCCTTGGATTGACTCAGCCTCTAACAGAAATGAGTACCAGAAATCTACCTGACGGAGGGGGGGGTAAAGAGCAGCTAGTGTGTGTAACGCTGACCTTACCACCATCTGTGAGCTGACTGTTCAGAAAATATGGGAGCCTCAACATCTCACAACCCTATGGGCCTTCACAGCCTGTTACAGGGATAGCTTTACCTTTTATTTATCTTTCTTCAGTGTCATCACAAAAACTCACCACTGAGGCTATTATGAACAAGTTCAATCAATCTATTTCAGATTCATTTTAATATTATTCTCACTTCTATGCACAAGTCTTCCAAATGTTACCTCTGAGTTTCTAATCAAAATTTTGAATGCATTTGCTGCATATCTTCAGCTATTTAATGACAATTTCTCAATTGCATAGGATGTGTATCAAAAAATTGTAAATTTTAGAGGTTGTGGCACATTTTAAGGTACTAGCCTGGCAGCTGCCTTGACAAACAAGGACAGCCATGAAGCACCTTGATCATGATAGCCAGTCCTTAGGACAAGGTAACGCTTGGGAGTTTCCGAATATGAAGCAAGAGTGGTAATCACTTGACCATGACATGTGCTCCCCATACCCGCTACACACCTTGTCTCATCAACATGCACTTCATCATTCTACTATACTACACTATACTATATTATTATTTTAATGTACTAGAGTACATGGGCAATATGTCACGCAGATTTCTCCTCTGATGCAATTCTGATTTACTGGGGAAAAAAATCAATCTTTCTAACGTTTTTGAATCAGGCTCAAGAGTTCAGATGTTCAAAAAACATACACAACTGCGTTCAGAATGGATATGAAAATAAACCTGAAAGAACAGGCAAAGAAATGTGCTTTTGAAGAGTATCACCTTCTGGTATCTGATGCTGGGTGGTGCAGATAGTCACCACTGTAAGAGCCTTCAATCAAACATAAATATACTTTTGGTTTGTGTAGTACACATACTACTCACAAAATGAGTGTACAGAACCTCCCATGGGAAGGAATATGTTCTCCTGAAATTTGTCATGAAATACCATAATGCAAGTCCTGTTTTTCAATAACTTAATGACAGGATATGGGCTGGACAGATGGGTTCCCCCAGCAAGGAAAAGGGGTTTTTCTCTACTTCAGAGCATCTACATCAGCTCTGAGGCCCACCCAGCCTCCTATCCAATGGGTAACAGGGGCTCTTTCCCAAGGAGTAAGCAAACCGGGCAAGAAGCTGACCACTCATCTCCATCTAATGCCAAGCCCAAGAATGGTGGAGCTATACCTCCACTCCCTCATATGTCTTTACAGCATGGTACTTAATTAATTAAGGACAGGGGCAACTATACTTTGCCTTTGTTCTAAGTGGGGTACGTATTCTTAACCTTTAAGTGACGGTCCATTTAAATTCCGGTAGTGGTAGCGGGACGGAGTTAATTTAAATGCCCGCCATTGTAGAGTTATAAAAACTGTAATCATGTTACTCAAAATGCTGTGATTTCTACAATTTTCGTGATAAACGAACGAAATAAACGCTGCTTTTATCTGGAAAGAATATAGAATCAGATATTATAATTTACAGATTTCAGAATCTGTAAAAATTGTTACACTGATTCCAAATTTTTTTCCCCCAATTTTGAGTGTCTGTCCACAAATATGCAGAAATTTTCTGCACAAAACGTTTCTCCAGTGTAAATGCATGCTGCAAGACATCCTCTCTTCCTGTCTTATCTTTCTAAAGGGGAGGAAGCTAATGTTTGTACGGCACATTCTCCAGTCATGTCGTAACCTTTCTACTATTGCACAAGTGGGAGCAAGTCTTATCGTATTTTGTACTTCAGAAACACTGCATGTTTATATCTCGGGCTAGCCACACAGAGGTACATTTCTTGGAATAGCCCTGCAATGCCTTTCAGTTTCGTTTGTACCGCATTCTGAATCGGTGAGATTTATGAGCAGCCTTCAATCTCGGCTTCTTCCATGCATAATGGAGCCATGTTGGATAGTTCAAATTGCGATGTTTTATAAGCGTTATGATTCTGTTTACATCTCAGACTAAACAAACAGAGCTACTGCTCTTGGAATGCCTTTCAGTCTGGTCTGTAATGCATTCTGAATCGGTGTAATTTATGAGCAACCTCTTCTATGCGAAATGAGGCCATGGTGGATAGTTGAAATTGCGATGTTTTATAAGCGACGCGATTAGAATTGTCCTTCAGAAACCCTGACTGTGCATATCTCGAACTAACCACACAGATATATTGTTCTCGGCATAGCCCTGCACTACCAGAAAGTTCTAGCCTAGCGCGTTGTGTTGTGAATAAAACATCGCAATTTTAACTAGCCAGCATGGCCTCATTTCACTTGAAAGAAGACGAAATTGAGAAGCAGTTGATTATTGACACCAATTTAGACTGCGGTACAGAAGATTCTGAGAATGGCGAGGAAACAACGGGCTCAGAACCCGAAGTCGACGAAGACCCATCATCTTCATCGGCAACCTGGGGACCACCACACCAGCATGGCAGGAGGCGTGTGAATAATTATTCCGGTGGAGCTGTGGGGTTAAATATCAATGAAGCTCCACACATAAATAAGGATTCCACCCCCTTCTGCGTTTTCATGCTGTACTTCACAGGGATTATCCGTCTGCTGGTGGAAGAGATGAACAGGTACTACCACCAGTACCTAGACAGACTTCAAGACGGACCTTCTCCGTGGCCTGACGTGACTGAATCCGAGATGTTTCTGTTTCTAGGAATAATCATTCAAATGGGACATGACAATAGAGGCAGACTAAAGGACTACTGGTCGACTCTAGAACAATTTGCCATGCCTTTCTACTCTAAGACAATGAAACGCGACCATTTTCTACACATTCTTCGTTTTCTTCATTTTGCAGACAACAGTACAGAAATTGACAGGAATGCCGACAGTTATGACCGACTATGGAAAATTCGGACCATCTTCGACACTCTCAATGATGCATTTGAAAAATATTATAACCTTTCCGAACATTTGGCCATTGATGAAATAATTGTAAAATACAAAGGGAGGGTGGTTTTTAGGCAGTACATTCCTAAGAAACACAAACGTTTTAGAATCAAAATCTTCAAAATTTGTGAAGCCGCTGGGTATACTTATGACATGAAAGTTTACCTAGGAAAAGACAGGATACATGCCAGCCAAGACGTGACAGCGACACATGCTACAGTTAGGGACCTATGCAGACGTATTGAGGGCGTAGGTCACAAACTGTACATGGACAATTTCTTTTCTTCACCCGACTTGTTTGACGAACTGATGA